CTTTGCAGATAATTTGTTTGTTTGTTTTAAGTTAAGCACAAAGCTACACAATTGGGTATCTGTGCTCTGCTCACCACGGTTATCTAAACTCAGTTTTTACATTGTAAGTCTGCAGACATACTACTGTGCCACTGGGGGGCGTTACTTTACAGATGAGGAACTTGCTCTAGAACTATAATCTTCATTTTGCAGAGGAGAAAGTTGTCGAGAACTTTATAATTTTCCTATAATGAAAATGTATTTCTGATAGGTACTTTACCTCCCCTCACATAAATAGCTATTCTCATTCAGTGTTGCCCTATACATGCAAAATTTTTTCGCATGCCACATGCCTTGAAGCTCCCACCCATATTTGAATGGACTGATTCAAATGCATCTCGCATGCAAATCATCATGTGACAACCCTCCACCAATAAGAGTGTGACACACATTCTTGACAAATGTGACTTCCTCTATTCAATTCTACTGAACTATCACTTCAAGTTTTGGCAGAAAATGGAAGCACTGGTTTTCAGTGAGGAGGAAGGGTGGGAAGTTTGAGAGGAGGTAAGTACCTATCAGAAATACATTTTCAGTATAAGAAAATTATATCTTCCGATATGGTACATTACCTCCCCTCACATAAATGGAAAGAATCCCACCTTGAAAAGGTGGAGGGACCAATGTGAGGGAAAGAAAGAAAGATCCTTTGAAAGTGTCTGAAGGACACCCTCAAAGAATAGATCCTCAAAGTAGATCATACGTGGGAGACTGCACTACTTCTGTATCAGGTATACTCTTCACCCATTGTAGAAAGATGTTGCACGTATGGGCAATAAGATAAGAGGAGCACATCCTAGTGGGAGAGAACTATGGTAGGATAGGGATCTGAACCATACAATATTTATTAAACTAAATTCTGGGAAAACACAAAACTGGGTAAGATGAAAAGGATGTGCCCCTAGGTGTAGAGTGCTTAGGGCATGAGAGACCATACACAGCAAGGCATCCACATCCAAAACTCATGCAACTGGGAACCAACATCCACACAGGGGTAAGATGAGGATCATACCATCGGTAAGTCAACTACAATCCAAAACCCAGCCAGCTAGTGTGGGTACAAAAGAAGATGATACCATCTTTGCCTCATGTTCATGAGACTGGACGGAATCTCGTACCCCTCCCTGTGACCCATGAATGGGGCATATGATAACATCAAAAAGATGTCTGTGTAATGTACACCATCTCACTCAAAAATTACAAGAACCTCCCCAAGTGCAGTAACATCCTCTGAATAATAAGAACATTGAGGGATAGCAGAAGGGGAAGAACTGTAGTAATCTGTAAATACCTCCATCATGACCAACAATATGGATGGAGTAACAAGAGTATAAATGAATGAGAGAATATAGACATCTATAATACATGTGTGAAGACTTATTTGATTGGTTCAGCTCTAAATAAAAGACTCAGCCACTGGGAATTGACATCTACATGGGAATAGGTTGAGAGATCCAAAATGAAGAGGTGAACTGCAATTTTGATGGCTCAATCCACTGTCACATAGTGGAGGATATCTCATCATCTACACCAGTAGAACATCACCGCCCTGTTCTCAACTGCATGGTTTTATAATCATTTATGTATGTATATGTATTATTATTTATATTTCATTTATACATTCAGGA